GTGCTATGCTTCTACAAATTAAATAAGCAACATAGAAATTATCCCATAATTAAAAAGAAATTTTGGCTTTGATATTGGCTTGGAATACTTTGCAATCTATATTAATTCAGCTCCTTCGATTATTGTATTTAGTGATTACAACCCCCTTACTTTCATTAACAAAATGCAAAGCAAAGATCAGATTATTAAAGTGGAGTTTGATGCTGCAGTAATACAATATTGTCATTATGCAAATCAAGGGAAAAGATGCAGATGCACTTTCACGTGAATATAAGTACTATATTGCTTTACTTTGTGTTTACTTTGTGATATTCGAAAGATATTCTCCTATATCATTTTAATTAGTATAGTAGCACATGTATATTTCATTATTATGTAAAAGAGAGTTTTATTGTTAATTTGATTTATATTGTGCGATTAGCCTTTGTCCATAACTGAGGTAGGAGTTTGGGCTTGACTTACCAAATTTATTTTGTAAGCAACATATTACATACATAAGTTTTGTCTATCGTTGCGGTTTGGACATTATGCTTTAAGATTAATATTATTTGTAGGTAAACATGTTTCCTTGGATATGAGTTCCCTTTAGGAATTCGTGGTGTACCTGACGTTCACTGTGATGTTTACAAACATTTAAGTATTAGACCTAATTTTGTGGACAACTTAGAATATTGTAGAAATTTACTCCTGATCCTCTTATTGTGTCTTATGTTTTTATATTAATGTTGTTCATATTAGAATTACCCGTTTCAATCTTTACATCTGAATAGGAGTCAGCCTTTCAGCTGTATTCAGCTTTAATTTGAGAGTATGTATTTATTTAATTTATTTATTGTAATCACAATGTGCCCATTAATACTTCGTTGATTAAATCTCTAGTTGAAGAATATTTGAATTCATTTAGAGACATTTTGGATTATATCATTCACATACATCAAGACTGTTAGGACATCAATACTATTCCAGGCTATTGGTTCGTCATCTCATTCAACATTGTAATTCATTCAAAACACCACTAGAATACATTAGGAATACTTTATACTTTTGGACTTGTCTAAGTTCTTTTAAACTTTTCACGTTATACACTATGGAAATACATTATTTGTCCAATTTTAAAAAACTTGTTGATTTTCTGCCTTTTCTGTTCCTTAGTTGAAGACACTAGAGTCTCAATTACATATTGTTACTACTACATGGTCTTAAAGTAAGTAAAAAATGGAAGCGAGAACCAAGAAGTGAAAATTTAAAACGAACTTTGACTATTGTGAATTTAATATCACATTGTCCTACAGATTATATCTCAAAACCAAATTATATAGTTGCAACTGAATTCCAGTGGTATTAGAATTGTGTTGATGTACCTGTAGTCTCTAATATGCTAATGCACCAGTAGTTTGGATTGCCACGATCTACTAATAGTCTTAAAGGAGACCAGAAAAAAAAAACATTTTCCTTTTATGTATGCAATTTTCTACAAATTTTAATTCAACTGTAATGTTTATAAATTAATTATCGTAGGTGGGTAGTGATTATATTGCGCAGAAGTTTAATTTGTTTTCAAAAGCTGCTCATAACTATATCTGTTGAACTGTGTGTTAAGAATTTAAAGAAAAGCAATGTAATTTTAACATAAATACTTATAATTAAGTCATGTGCAAAAATGTGATAAGGATTAAGTGATGGTGCCCAGTGTAAAAAGTGCAATAAATTCATTTAAGTAGGATGGGATTCAATCGTATTATATGTAAATAACATATTCACTGCCTACAACACAGCACCTAAGGACTAATGTTTTGAAAATATACAATTGACACTGAACCGCTGAGAGATAATACTGAATTCTGAACGAAGTGACTAGAACCGGTACCTTGAGCGTTTGCACTTTGGGGCAGAGAGGTGGGGCTAACAGTCGCCTCCCCCAATTTCTATTGTCAGCCAGTTAATGTCAAACTTTGATTTTATACCTTACCTATTTTCTTTTAATCGCTGCTATATAAACTGCTCAAGGGATAGTTTTATATCAGTTCCAATCACTACAAATTACCGTTTATACATACTACATGTAACCTTCATAGACTGCAAGGTTCGTTTTTGCTGTTTTTTTTTAAATAAAAATTTTAAGATTACTGAAAATTGTGTTTTCTCGAAACACGACCGTGTCAGGGATTTAAAATCTTATTTTTAGCAAAGCTTCTATTTCATACAAATCAGATCTCAGTTTCACCTAGGACAGCGGCGGTGACTTGATTTAGATTTACCGTGTTATGACATGTATGTCAACATCCTGAAAATATATTTACTCATTTCCTCAAGCAAACATTTTTTTCTCCTCAACAAGCCTGATGGGCACTTCGCTTTGAATACAGGATGGGCCCGGACTAAAAATTAGAGGGACGCCAGGTGTCGGGCTATAGAATTTGTTTAGCACTGCTGGTGTAGATAAATATCTATGAATTGATTGTTGAATTTTGTAGCTACTTACTCGGCCTTCTGCCCATTTTCCTAACTCACACATTTAACACTTTTCCCAGGTTTTAAAATATCTTTTACGATTGCAAATGCCAATCGGATTGCTAAGTCGTTACTACGACGTCACATCACGAAAGTTAATAATAGGTACGAAAATTGTGCATACGAGGTCACGTCATAGAAATTCAGCGTTCAGCGCTTTGAAGATATGCCAATATTTAAATATTGACATTACGGTGATGGTACTTCACAATAAGGTTTGCTTCTATAGTGCTTTTATTATAACTCTAAATTTATATTGATTTCTGTTGTTTTTTTTAAAAAGTATTTCGTGATAATGTAATTCAAAATGTCCTTATATGAATTCACTATCATTCAAAATTAATTATTATTGAGTATCAAGTATTCCAGTGAACAATACGTTGAATAAATAAATCCACCTAAAACTAAATACAATAATAAGACTTATTATGTTTCAAGATGTGAAGACAAATATTATTAAATTTCAAGTAAACAACACTATATAAAAGCCTAAGTCACAATAACAGAGCGAGCCAGGATGTAGGTTAGCCTCCTTTCTAAAACATTTAATGTTGTCAACAAGTTTAGGAATATAAAAGTGGTTCTAGACCTAGAATCAAATAAACATGTTTCCTCCATCGATAATAATCTAAATGTTTAGGCCATACTCATATTGAAATATTAGCTATGTATTATGTTGTTTACAAAATAAATGTCTGCATAAGTTATATTTTTTTACGAAAATCCAACAAGTATATATATATATATATATATATATATATATATATATATATATATATATATATATATATATATATATATATATATATATATATACATACTGTACATATATGATTATTTTGTCTGCTATCCTGTGTTCATCTAGTAACTTAACATTCGGAATCATGCAATATTTTTCTATTATATACTGCTTTATACTCGTCGACACGTGTATCTATAAATAATTCTTGTTTTCAATGCTGTAATGGTTGAAACTCTTCTTACACACCTGTACATAAACTCCGTATGTACTCTTTTATGTGCCCTAAAATATTTATGAATTTGCAAATATGAAATAATGTCTGGTTGACAGTCATCTCTTATTTTAGCAGGATTTTGATATTGGGAGCATAGTATTTAAATTAATTACATGTTTACCATAATATTATAATCTAGGTATTCCAAGCAAACAGAACTAATTATAACTTATAGTTTCGATTGTGTGCGCTGGTTGATATCACGTGGCAAGAGAGTATATAGTGAGATGATCGAAATGAACCTTAAAAATGGTAACGACATATACTTATCGCACTTTGCCGAAGAATGATTATCTAATTATTTTTTTCTTCAGATAATTGAACATGGAGTGTCCAGTTTGTTTCCAGAGGACAGATGATGTTAGCTTTTGTGTTCCATGTGGTCATATATTTTGCACCGTTTGTCTACAGAGACACATGATAGTGGAAAAAGATAGCTGCCCAAACTGCAAAGCACAGAATGTCATCGTTAAACGTGTTTGCCTAGATGACTCAAAAGACACTCTGTTGAAATGTCTTTTAAATCATGTTGAGAATGGGAGCGGAAAGACAGAACTTGAGCTGTTTTTTGGACTTTGCTTGATATTTTTTTATCAAAACATCGTCTTCGAAGTAATTAGATTGATGTTAACGTTACTTCTTATTTTCTGGATTTGCTCATTCCTAGTTCTAGCTGTGAATTGTTTAAAAAGCGGCGACGAATTCGATCTGGTTTTACTCTTCAAGGCAGGGTCGATTGACCTATCAAGAAAACTGAGTAAAATTTTCAAGCTTTCTCAAGAGATATTTTCATATCTTTCTACGTTTTCTGAACGATCCGCTGACAACCAAAAATGAGAGGACTATTCAGAAGGAGAAGATCATCACCGAAGTATACGATTCTGTTTTTGTTTCTTATGTGTTTCAGCAAGTACAAATATTGGATTGGAAGCGGAAATGTATACATACTGCTATTTCTGGTGCTAATAAATGGCATGCCTATAAAATATATATAGAAACGCATTACTCAATAAACGCCATCTGGGTGAGTACTTTGCAACACTTTGCCAGCTTACTCTGTTTTTAATATGATCATTCTGATAAAAATAAAAGAAATAAAGCTATTCTTTTTATTTGAAAGTGAAACTAAGACCCACAATAACATTTACATAATGTCATAAGGGTTAATGAACAGCTAACAAATTCAATAACACATACACATAATTACACACACAGACACACAAACACAGACACTCACACATACATACATACATACATACATACATACATACATACATACATACATACATACATACATACATACATACATAAACATCAAAAGGTCCTTAAGCGTTTATAATATTTGACTTTTTTCTCAAAAGCTCTTGAAATTATAAAATTTTTCGAATTCAAATTAAGAAATATAAAAAAATTTCAGTACATTAATACATTAGATTATCACTGTTATAGTATGCATTGTGTTATGGGGCTAATGCCCCAGTGGCCTAGTGGTTAGAGCGTCCGCCTCAAATGCTTGAGGTCGTGGTTTCGATCCCTGGTTGAGACATACCAAAGAATTATAAAAATGGTACTAACAACTTGGCACTCAGCATTAAGAAGTTAATTTTAGGACTGTTCGGTTAGGTGTCAGGATAATGTGACTGGCTGAGACATATGCTACATGACTGCGGCATGATGCTCAAATGTTAGACATCACTATAAACTCCCACACTGCAGACATCATAGTAATACTATTGGTCACACACACACACACACACACACACACACACACACACACACACACACACACACACACAATGAGAGCTCTTTCGTTGAATATCTAATGGTCCACATTTTTTATATTGGCTTTTAAAAAAAAATATAATTTCGTTTCATTGCACACACAGAGCAGACTTCTTTCGGATTAATTTCTATTTATTAGCCCATCCATACAAAGTGGTGAAGTCGTCGTCGACCTTGGTGCTTTGTTTTGCAAAATTTTTTTTTTAAGTCAATGTATATGGTGTGCCTCAACCTCAAACTCTAGGTAAAAAATTTATTTTATTATTACACACTATGCATTTGAATCGTGCAGTTTCAACGGGATACATTGTTCTTGCAGATTTAGAGTTAAATTATCAAAAGAACAAAGACTATAGCGGCTGTGTACACTTAGGTGAAAATATTGCATGTTCCTTTTCATGACTTATACGAATTTATGGTATGGCTCATAGAAGTGTTCCAAATAAAATTTGACCACTCCGTTGACCTAAACGGCTAGAGCGTCCGCCTCGGATGCAGGATGTCGTGGGTTTGAACTATGTCTGTGTCATACCGAAGACTTGTTTTTTTTTTGTTGTTTTTTTTTTTAAAGTTGTACTAGCAGCTGCTTCGCTTGGCGCTAGCATGAATGTGCTAGTGTTATGACTGGTCGGACTGGTATCAGGATAATGTGACTGGATGGACATGATGCTACATGTCTGGGGCATGATGCCCCAGTTCTTGACATCACTATAAACTGCCACACTGCTGACATCGTTGCGATATGACTAAAGCTACGTTCAAACTCCAATCACAATTTTACAACTGTTAATAACCTATGTAAAATTTATTTCCATTTACATCTATTCTCTAACAACTGTGTCACAGTTTCGGTGCTCGTGCAAACGCCGATAACTATTATACTCTAGCACAGGATCAAACGTGTGATGCTAAAGAAACAAGGGATAAATGTCCAAGATCAGATTTTTTTATACTTAAAACAATTTAAATTTTAAAATAATAGACTCGATGTTCTTTTTATGCTATAATAACTAAATTCCAGATGATTTTCTTAAAGTTATAATTACCAAACGACTGACAAATAAAGCAAGTAAATTGGCAAACGAAAATAGTTATAGACCTGTGATAAATTGGCGGCGTTCAAAACACACCAACCTCTTTCACTACGGTTCGTTGCTAGGAAATGACCTTCGTGGTGTAATTTACCCAGTGTGGATAGATAGAAAGAATAATGCAGATCACTGAACAAGTATATTGAAGAAATAAAGACAACGAGCCCCCTTTCAATGAACAAATATAAAATTTAAATAGTTTATCAACAGAATTTAAAATGAACAGAAATCAATTACTTGGTTACAAAGAAGGAAAATTGTACTAACATGTACTCAAATAAAAAGACAATACAAATTTCTTTAAAGGCTATTGAACTCTGGATGAAAACAGTCACTATACGAATGTGCAATACATTTCCTAAAATATATCAAATTGTCAGTCCGTGAAGCTCAATACAGCCATGATACCGGCAAAAGATAACACATATAACAAATGTATGACTAGACTAATATTTGGGTAACATGTTACGGAATTCTGTCTAAACCAGCAGACCAATGTAGGTATTGTATTAATGCAAGCATAATCATTTATGTTCAACGACTCAGACTCTGCACCCGCACTAATCTTTGTGGATGTCTTAACACTTGCGTTAAGAACATTTCTAATGCAATTTTAGTGGCAAGTTGGCAAATCTTGAAGGTAAATGTAACCATGGATGAAAGACTGAAAATAGCGTATGCATAATAGCTTTATTCTAGAACACAAACAATGAGGAAGGTGTGCAGATGGCTTTCAACAAACGCATGCAAAAGGTCAATTTTCGCTTCAAGAGATTCCAGATCAGAGGTATTTTGGCTCAAAGAAAAACCACTCTGAATTCTAAAAATTTATTGACCAATTTTGCTTGATAATTTCCAAATCAGTAATAAACAGCCTATTGAAATCTGGATGAAAACAGTCAACGATTTGACAAAATACACAATTTAAAGCATCGTATGTACGCATAAAACTTGCAAAACTTACAGTTCTTAAATTACTGTAAAATTTCAAAACATTTATAATTCTTGCACTAACAGAGTTGTGAATTGCATTAGCACAAAATTGAGAAAACCTCCATGTAAATCGGCAGTTATGCCTAATAATTATAACATCAAAATAAAATTTCAGATTTAATGGTAAATATTCGCTAATGAAATTTTAACATTTTGTATTGTCACGCTTGACTTCACCACTCCTGACAATATAATGTTTCCATTGCACTTGTGAAGTATGTCCTGATGTCTATTCAAAAAGCGTACATATCTTCTACCTATTTTCCCTATGCAGTCTTGCACATAGTATATAACCAACTGACAACTTTGATTTAATATGTGTAATGCCAATAATCCTTTAAGGTAAAGCACTAGGTCACTGTGTTTCATGGTGCGAGGCAGACTTGAATTGTGTTAGGGGTTGGTTGTGGACTAAAGACAACAGTAAATCGCCACACGGGGATGCAAGACACGGTCATGTAATCGGTACAGTGTCACAAAATTTATGATGGTGTGAGTGATACCACATTGACAGATAACGAAAGGGACATTGTCCGCTAAGTTTGATTGGATTGGATGAAAGTGATATCCAATCGGGATTGAGACAGATGGTGTGATTACAATTTCGACCCGAATGATACTTAAAGGTCACCGGCCACACTTCAACATTTTTCGGTTTACATCGGATTTGCATTACATGATTAAAAGTGGTTATATTCGCACAAAAAGAAAAATATTATCAAGTATAAAGAAGAAATAATTGAATTACTCGATAAAGAAGTATACAACGCAGTTACTACTCCTTAGCTACGATTTCCTACTTATAGATGACGCCAGCAGGAAATGATATACATTTAACCCCACAAGACGAAGTACATGCTTCTTGTTGTCAAAAAATAAACATTATAGACCATGGATGGAGAACATTTAGATGAAACTAATGAAAACTAATTTACTGTTCAGCCTTATATCAATATGCGTGCGCGACGCACTAGATTGTGTCGCTTTTAAAACTGTTCGGTTGTTTCAATTTATTTTGAAAATTCCCATTATACAGGTGTAAAGGAATCAATGTTGGCTTCTATGTCGGCTGATTTTTTTAAAAAAAAATCGGCACACTTAAAAGAATCCAAAGGAACCAAACTTGACTTCCTTGTGTCGGCCGACTCCATAATAAAAATTGGCACACATAAAAGATACCAAGGTCAATTTTCGGGGTTGTTTGGGTTGTAAAAAAAACAACACAACTTTGTATTTGATATCCTGTCGGAAAGTTTAAGGAAAGAGTTTTATTGCTCGCTTTAAGTTTTGTTTATCCATCACCCGGGCTTCTATTTGTTCCCCATATGTGATCATAATTTATATTTGCAGGGCAAATAGTATACACAACAATAACGTGCTTTAATAACACGAAATATTATCATTTGCACTCACAGTGGATGTATTTTAAAATAATGATTTTCATTTGTGAGATACCGTCGTATAGTTAATCTGGATATAATATAATCATGGTCAGTTTGCACCTTATAACGTCACCACAGTAAGGACGCAAACGCAAACCGGCATCCACTACATACACGGAGTTCGTGGGTATATTTTTTTCCTTAATAAATTTCGCATGATGAAAAAAGAAGGAATAAATGATAACAATGCAATGTTAACTCCTTTCATTTTATTTATAATATAAGTGTATGCTTATCATTTTTGTACCTTGCAAGGGAGAGACACATTTATTTTCAACACAAAATTAATTTCTTTCTTATTTGTATGGAATAATGGAGCAAATATAATTGACAATATTGACTAGCAACGACAAGCATTTTATTTGCGCGCGCACACACTAGGAAACTTGAAAAATAAAAACAAACAATAAAATTTACTTGTAAGAGCTTCATATTTCAGCATCATTGACAAAATGTTCAACATTACTCTCTCTCTCTCTCTCTCTCTCTCTCTCTCTCTCTCTCTCTCTCTCTCTCTCTCTCTCTCTCTCTCTCTCTCTCTCTCTCGTGTAACTGTGTATCATATGCAGCAGTGTTACAACGTGAAGCCTAAAATTAAATGTATTTGTTTTTATATAATATGTACACTACCCGTAGAAGCAATATATATATATATATATATATATATATATATATATATATATATATATATATATATATATATATATATATATATATATATATATATATATATTATATATATATATATATATATAATATATATCCTGTAGAATCTATTAAGTGTTATTATTTAATAAATTAATAAGACCTATTCCTAGTATGTACATGTTGCTTTAAGAAAAAGAAATTGTTCAAACTATTGTTAAGTTGAGCCGATTTGACTTTCGAGTTGGGTTGAATTGTCTCGGGCCAAATTGACTATAATCCGGCATTAATGATAAAACTTTCCAATCCATCTCACAGCTTGAATTCACTTTTTTTTTCTTCTGGTAATTAGGGTCTTTCGGAAAAAGAAAGAACCCCTTTTCCAATCAACAATCTTTTGGTTACATCCATATGCAACACAGTGCATCGTATTTGCTGTACAAAGCACGATCGTAACATATATCACATAGACATTTACGTTGAATAGAAGGGATAAATGTACGTCATATCCATGGGGTTTGTTTGTAGCATTTTAGGGGACACACAATTTTGGGTTCCATTGAGTCCCGAGACTTCAAGATTTGGAAACGGAA